CACACTTTACAGATTTTTAAAATGAGAAACAGAGAGATGAAGTAGCTTTCCTAGAGTCACACAGCTATGCATGGTAGAGAACGATGTAACTCAACCAGGCTGGATCCCTTGGCCATAGTCTTAACCACTAGGGTGTCTTTCTTCTTCATGTGCAATTATGTGGTCTTGCAGTAGTCAAGGAACCTATGAAAGACATGCTGATAGCAAGTGGTGGAAGGAGATTCACTCTAAGAACCACCTGTCTATAAGGCCTTTCCATTCTATACTCTGAAGTCCTAACCGGTCAACTCTTTAGGTTATTTTTAAAAAGCTTGTTTCTTTCATCTTTGGGTCAGACTTTTTCTGACAGATTTTCATAGGAATCTGTTGGATGAGAAAATTCCATATATTCCATTGTTATGCATTTCTATATTTACATCTAAGTTTGCTTTACAAAGAATTCAACATGGCTAATTTTCAGTGTATTTTGCTTCACAGCTTAAATTTTTGTATTGCTAAACCTGGTCACACAGAGAAGGAGGTGGTAGTTTAAAATGAGCTTATAGGAGGTAAATTTAGGTCAAGTAAATATAAAGATGATATGGAGCTTGTTATCCCAAGATGATAAAACTATAAATAGGTTCAAAGATGGCTGAGATAAATTTGTAAATGACAACCCTTCCAGACGTTGTTAAGGAAAATTAGTATGTATGAGAAATACACTTATCCTATTTATGGGATTTTTGTCTAGCTTGTACGTTTCTCATTCCATCATTTCTGAAGTGGTGCATCTTTGTCTTCTGCCAGCTTCTTAATGAACATGGGGGCACTGTTGGCCCCCTGGGTTTCCTGTTGTCACTAGTAGAATTCTGAATGAAAGGAGAGCAGAGTAAGCAAGGTTGCCTGTGCATTGCCTGAGTGAACCCCCATTCACGGTGTGCTGTGAGGCTCCCATCTGGGCAAGCATTCCAATTCCAGAGCGAAATCGCAGGGCTGCAGCCATTTTACAAAAATGTATTTCTTACTGCAATCTGAATGCTGGAGGGCATAGCACAACAGCACATTGGCATACATTCATTTACCACGCAGCTAGGAAAGGCTAAATGTACCTGTCGAGATTCCTTGAGGACTGTCGAGAGTCTTGAAGGTCGTGGAGTCCGGTGGAGTCCCCTCCTTTTTTAAATCAGCTTTTTGCTGCAGTCCAGTTGCTTTACAGTGCTGTTAGTCTCTGCTTGGCAGCAGAGTGAATTGGCCACAGGTGCACCTGTATCCCCTCCTTGGGGCTTCCTTTCAGGTCACCGGAGAGAATGAAGCAGAGGTCCCCATGTGGGTGTAGGTTCTCATCAGTCATCTATTTTATACACAGTATCAACAGTGTATATGTATCAGTCCCAATCTCCCAATCCCTCCCAACCCCTTTTCCCCTTAGTATCCACACATTTGTTCTCTATATCTGTGCCTCTATTTCTGCTTTGTAAATAAGATCATCTATACCATTTTTCTAGACTCCACATACATGCGTTAATATATGATCTTTGTTTTCTCTTTCTGACTAACTTCACTCTGAATGACTCTGTATGACTCTCTAGGTCCATCCATGTCTCTCTACAAATGACCTAAGTTTGTTCCTTTTCATGACTGAGTAATATTCCATTGTATATGTGTATCATATCTCCTTTATCCATTCCTCCATTGATGGACACTTGAGGATACTGAGGATACTGAGACCCAAGTGGTCCGGTTATCAGTTGATGCCTAATGAACTACTCCCAAATTTAGTGGCTTAAAGCAACAATCATTTTATTATAGCTCCCAGTTTAGTGTGTGATGAATTTGTGCAGGGCTCTGCTGGGTGTTTCCTCTGCCCAATGTGGTGACAACTGTGACTGCCGGATGTTATTTGAATGGTGGAGGGGCTTTACCTCTCTCTAAACTTCAAACCAGGTGTCACCAATGGTAAAGAATCCACCTGCCAAAGCAGGAAATGAAAGAGACACAGGTTTGATTCCTGGGTCAGGAAGATCCCATGGAATAAGAAATGGTAACCCACCCCAGTGTTCTTGCCTGGGAAATTCCATGGATGGGGAGCCTAGTGGGCTATAGTCTATGGGGCCACAAAGAGTCAGACGTGACTTAAGACTAAACAATACTAACCAATTTCAAACCAGACAGTTCCCATTGAGTCCCGGAGCATCTCTCCTAATAGGAGTGAGGTCAACTTGGATAATTCCAAACTGCTTCCCAAAGTTAACCTGTCAATGATCCAGGCTACATCATGGGCTATGTCAACAAAGGTGTCAGGTGACATTTTTCTTGCCTTCAGCTCTGTATCATCCCAGATCTTCTATCTAGTTCTCTTCTAAAGCAGATCAGCATCTCTGACCTCCTAGCTGTTTGGTTATTACTTTCCCATACTTCCTTTGTATGTATGAAGAGGAAAAGTTAAAATTTTACTTAACCTCCTGCTACTCTGCCTCTGTAACCCAGCTTGCTCCTTGCAAAGTCTAGATCACGTAGGTCTCAGAAAGTGGGGACTCACAATACTAGGAACTGGAGCTTATCTCACTCACCCTTGTCCTGCTCTTTGCAATCACCGTAGCCCCTGCAAACCCACAAACCTGCTTAATCATGCCTGTCTGTGTGTAAAAAATCTCTGTAACCCCTTTGTTCGGGGCTCAGAGCTTGGAGTGTTAAGTCCTCTGGGCCCGCCGGCGTAATAAACCTGACTCTCCAGCTCTCCGAGCATGGTGCTTGGTTTCTCAAGTACTGGTTTTTGCAACACATGTACCTTCTCTCCTTCCTGGTAGATGGAGGACCCTAGAGCATTTGTGTTGCTTGGCATGTGATCATGTCAGAAGAAAGCTAGAGACTCTGGGTTTGGGTCTCAGAAAGCTGGAGCCACGCCATCCAAGCCAGCATTTCTGAATTGTACAGTTCCCAGGATCATAGCTTCTACTTTTTTTTTTTTTTTTGCTATAGAGTGAAAAGGGGTAGCAGGTGTGGAGGGAACGCTCTGTCCAGGCTATCATTATTTCTGGACAAACCAACCATTCTGATGAATGATATCAAATATGAATCTGGAACTAGATGCTTGCTCCTCAGTTCTTCTTGGCATCTTCCTCTGGCTTCTTTTCAAAGATAAAATGCAGGAAAACACATGCCCCCTATAAATTATTTTCCAGTGCAGACATCACAGAGAGCATATCAATGAGCTACTGCTTTCCCCCTTTGTTCTCTGTGGCTGTGAACGTCACTTTCAACTTAGTATTTCATATTTATGTTTTTATTTTCTATGTCCCCTCCCATCCTCAAATCTGCAGGGGACCAGAGAAGAGCATCTGAAAGATCAGCTGTGCAGTCAATGGGCAATGGGCTGTTTACTTAAGTTGTGAAACAGAAGAATTAATTGAAAGAGAGGATTACTGAGGAGGATAGAAGGAGGATATATGGACAGTGGCATTAGACAGGTCTGATGAGGATGGAAGGGGGATATATGGACACTGGCGTTAGACAGGTCTGAGTTCAAACTCTTGCTCTGCCACTTATTTTCCATATGAGCTTTGTTTTTGTTCAGTCACCAAGTCGTGTCCCACTCTTTGCAATCCCATAGACTATAGCCCGTCAGGCTCCTCTGTCCATGGGATTTCCCTAGATCACTGGAGTGAGATGCCATTCCCTACCATGTGAGCTATAGCAACTTACAGTTTCTGGACCTCAGTTTTCTCATCTGCCAGCTGGCTATAACCATACCTGTGCCATGTGATCATATTCAGGACTGAACGAGATGGTGTATGTTCTGTGTCTGCCATGATGGGAGTTCAATAAATGTCAATGTCATTTGCTCAGAGAACATCTCTGTGAGTAAATACAACAGGTAGAAAATGACTTCAATTAAAGACATTTTTTATTAATGTCTAGAAATGAGAAATCATAATAAATACTGTTTAGCATTCCACATTTTTAGACTGCTAGGCTCTGTGGAGGCAACATGGAAAACCGAGCCCCAGTCTTCTAGTAAAGGCAGGATGGTGCAGGGGGTGGAGTGGAGGTCAGTATAGCAGCCACAAAGCCAGAAGGTAATGATTTTAAAGGGGTTGTGCAAGCTCGGTGGGGAGACTAGAACTGCAGTGTTCAGGCAGGGGTGATAAAATTCATTCACACCGAGAACAGATAAGTTGCATGGGGGACTCACCTTGAACTCTATGGTCATCTTCATTTGACTTTCAATTTTGGTCACCCATTAAAGGAAATCAATGGTCCAGAAGAGTTAACAGAAATATTATAAGAGAAAAATTCCCTCAAATTAAAAAACCATAAAAAAATTGAGATAAATTCAGAAATCATAAAAATCTGATATAAATTTTTTTGGCCAGTTTGGGGCAAAAACTAGAAATTTGGGGAAACTCAAAAATTATACAATGTGTTTTTCATAATTTTAAAAGATTGATTAATTTAGAAATAATAAATATATACTTCTATATATCAAAGTTTATTTTTCCATTTAAAAGTTTTGAAATAATCTGACTTAAAATTTGCAAATATAGTACTTAGAATTCCTGTATAACCTACTATGATTTCTCAAGTGTTAATATTCTAATACCATTACTTTATTCTCTATATAGTTATATTTTTTAAAAATCTGAACTGTTTGATGATGAGCAGAAAGCATTATACTCCTTTACCTGTAAGTCTCAGTATCATACTTAAAGGGCTTTCTGGGTGACAATGCAGGAGACACGGGTTCGAACCCTGGGTTGGGAAGATTCCCTGGAGGAGGGCATGGCAGTCCACACAAATGTTCATGCCTGGAGAATCTCATGGACAGAGGAGCCTGGTGAACTACGATCCATGAGGTCACAAGGAGTCAGACATGACTGAAGTGACTTAGTAGAAGCAGCATACCTAAAACAAGGATATTCTGTAATATAACCACAGTACAATTATAAAAATTTAGAAGTTAACTTTGATACACTCATATTATCCATCTATAGCTATTAAAATTTTGTCCATTGTCCCACCAATGTCTTATATGGAAAAAGAAGCACTTACCAGGCCAGCCCAGAATTCAATTCAGAATCACACACTGCATTTACACACCATGTGCCACATCCTTTTTCTATCCCAGTCCTCTTTGTCATTCATGGATAGTGCATTTTTGAAGAACATGTGCCAGCATTGTGCAGAATGTCCCTCAACGTGGTCTCGTCTGATGTTCCCCTGTGGTTAGATTTGTAATGTGCAATTTTGTCAGGAATACACAGACGTGGTGACGTGTTCTGCTCAGCGCACCATATCTCATTATTGGCCAGGGAATTTTTGCAGAAACTAATGCATGTGGCTAGGGATTTTTATTTTGACCAGCCAAAAAACTAATTCTGTTATTTCACTAACACTTTGTGGGTTATAGCATTCAATAGGTACACCAGACACACTTGTAAAGTCTTCTGATTTTCATGAAATGTTGTCTTCAATCCACTCTTCTATAGAATCAAAGGAGTATTCTTCAGCATTGTGAGTTTCATTTTCACTTTCCGTATCAGAGTCAATCACTAAGGTTATTTTTTTGTCTTTGTGTTGGTCTAATATTCACATTGTCTGACTCAGAACTATATTCTGAAAAACAATCATCTTCTGAGACCCTATAATATATGTTGCTCAGATAATCAGAGACAGTATTTTCATAAAATTCACTGAAAAATGCTTCTCTACTCAAGATCTCACAATGCATCATTTTTGAAAATTTTACATTTATAATATACACAAGGTTGGAACAAAAACCTAACCTAAAATATGAACAACAACAATCATAAGTTGCATAATGAACCCTTGATCAATTTTAAGCGCTAACAACTTTACACAGTGGTGTTAATTGTCTCTCTCTCTGTAAGTATATTGATATGTCTCCAATCAATAACATTCACGTAATGAAAGACATATTGATAGGAGTCTAGTCAATAATGTGACATCAGGAAACATTTACACCAGCCAGATTTCCCCACTGAAAAGTTACTTTTCCTATTCATAGTGAATGAATGGGCTTTCCTGGTGGTTCAGTGGTAAGGAATCCACCTGCCAATTCAGGAGACCCAGGTTTGACCCTTGGGTTGAGATTCCCTGAAGGAGGAAATGGCAGCCCATTCTGGCATTCTTGCCTGGACAGAGGAGCCTGGCGGGCTATAGTTCACTGGGTCGCAAAGAGTCAGACACGACTTCGTGACTAAACAAGAACAACAACAGTGAATGGCTATCTTGTGAGGAGATACATTAAAAGACTGTGAACAAGTGCCATTGCTCATCACATTCTTGCCCACTTGTTTTAGCATCGTTGGTGATTTTTATCTAGAGCAATTATTACTATAGTATTTGCCAAATAGCAATATTCTAATTCAATTTCTTCTACATTTAGCTGAAATTTTTCTGTAAGGGAGAGTTTTTCTTCTGCAACATTAATTTATTTTCACATTTACATGTTTATTTACTGAAAACTCAAGAGTTCTTTTTTATTCTATAGGTCACTATGCTTTTTATTTCATTGCACAAATTATTCTGTATTTGATTAGTGAAAGCCCCTTCAAGTTAGCATGTGCTCTTTTCACAAGAACCTTGTTTTGTGTTATCTATGCCCAGCCCTGGAATCAGCCATTTCTCCAAGGAGCCCTTTTACTGGGGAATGTGTTTTATTTAATTGTAAAGTGCAGTTTATTCTTTTTCTTTTTCAGCAATAACTGACCAGCCATTATATTTAAGGCAGCGAATGTGGTACCCCAGAACCTCAAGATGCTATTCTTTACCCCAAGGAGTTTCTATCTTAAAGGAGAAATAAGGCATATACACAAATCCCCATATAAGAGAGAAGTGATGATTCTAAAGAAGGTTAAATATGAGGTATTGTGGGATGCAAGAAAGGGGAAAATCCCTTTAGGCTGTTAGAGTTCAGGCAGGCTATAAAACAGAAATGGTATTCAAGCTCTAACCAACCAAGTGCATGCTTAGTCGTGTCTGACTCTTTGTGACCCCATGGACTGTAGCTCATCAGGCTCCTCTGTCTTTGGAATTTTCCTGGCAAGAATACTGGAGTGGGTTGCCATTTCCTCCTCCAAGGAAGAGTTAAATAAGGAGTAAATGGGGAGAGACAGAAAGATGATCAAGTAGAGAAAAATAATTTGCTAATTTGCTCATTATTGAGACAATAGATGCAAATTTACTAACTAAATTTGCATACGATTATTTTATTATTTTATTTTATCTTTTGGCTGCACTGGGTCTTTGTTGCAGCCAATGACTTTCTTTAGTTACAGTGCAAGGACTTCTCGTTGCAGTGCACAGGCTCTCGAGTTGCAGGGTGCAGACTTGATCACCCTGTGGTATGTGAGATCTTAGTTCCCCAACCAGGGACGGGACTTGAGTCCCCTGCATGGGAAGGCAGATTCTTAAGCATTGGACCAGCTGGGAAGTCCCCCTATGACTATTTTAAAGCTATATATCTTTTAAGATTTTGAAGATTTGTACTCTTCCCTTTTAAAATAATTTCTACACCACAAAAGAGGCACAAAGATTTATTTCACATAATTTTTCAAGGAGTAGGAGAACAGGGCTTCTCCCAAGCCTGGCTTTGACCTTCCTCTAGGCTTGACCTGAAGGAAAGCCTGCTCTGGTCAGCCTGTGGCATCAGACAGGGTGAGAGGACCTGGTCTCGCTTCACCCCAGTTCATCTTGGTTCCTCTGGGGGCCCCTGACCGTGGCTGCTGGACACAGACCTGTCCACTTTACCTGGGTGCAGAAGCCTGGTGGGTTACAGTCCATGGGAGCATAAAAGAGTTGGACACAACTTAGCGACTAAACAACAACAACAACAAATTTTTAATTTTAGTAAGACCATGCTGGGCTCCCTGGTGGCTTAGTAGTGAAGAACCTACATGCCAAAGCAGGAGACATGGGTTCAATCCCTGGGTTGAGAAGATCCCCTAGGGAAGGAAATGGCAAAACACTCCAGTATTTTTGCTTGGGAAATCCCATGGACAGAGGAGCCTGGTGGGCTACAGTCTGTGGGGTCGCAAAGAGTTGAACATAGCTTAGTGAATAAACAAGATAAGAACAAGTGTTCTCTTAGGGCCTCCACTTCCCACTGAACCTGTGATCCTGGTTCATTGATCTGTTGCAAAGGTAAAAGGATGTACAGAAAAGCACGTGGTAACCTATGTGAATTCTTTTAGTTTATACCTCATGCAACATTTGAATTTCCCCGGTGGCTCAACGGTAAAGAATCTGCCTGCAATGCATGAGCCACAGGAGATGTGGGTTCAGTCCCTGGGTTGGGAAGATCCCCTGAAGGAGGAAAAGAGCAACCCACTCCTGTAATCTTGCTTGGAGAATCCCATGGACAGAGGAGCCTGGAAAGCTACAGTTCATAGGGTCGCAAAGAGTCAGACTCGCTGAAGTGACTTAGCATGCATGCAATATTTGGGACATATTTGTACTAAAAACTGTCCTTTGTTTATCTGAAATTCAAATTGAACCAGGCATCCTGTATTTTATCTGGCACCCACACTCTCGGGAAACAGAAGTCAGTACTGACCTCCTGCCCTATGACACCTTCCCTGCGAGCACCCAGAGAAGTCAAAACTTTCTGAAATACCCCACAGACCATGCCCCGCTTGCTCAATAATTGTGCAGTGTGAGATTGGTAGATAAATTGGACGTTATGGGAATTTATAGTCAGATGGTACATACAAACACCAAGAGATAAATTACCCATATTAGTTTTTATTTAAACTGTAATTGAATATGTGAATAGAAAATTAGTGTAATGTATTGATACCATCTGGTGTTCCAATTTCACACCGGTTTTTTTCATCTCTCTTAATTTAAACAAGATCGAATTTTACCCCTACACATGATTTTATTTCATTTAATTACTGTTTTCACTTAGGTACCATCGTGTTGACCATAATCCTAAGTGGATTTAATAATTTGTAGATAATAGAACAGGTGTGCTGTCGTCAATAAGCCAATGTTCTTCCTAGTTACACAAATGCTAAGACTCAATAGCTCACCTGCATAGCAAGATTGAGTAATAATAAAACAGTGCACACCACAGAAGTGTATTTAAAGAAATTGGAATTCTTTCACTCCTGTATTCCTTTCAGTCTTTCTTCTTAACTGCCTACTATGTGCCCCGGACTTACTAAGTCCTAAGGCTAGAAAGAGTCTGGTGGCATATTCAGAGCCGTCAGCAGGTAACGGCAGCGTGAGTCAACAAGGCGCAGTTGCAGTGCTCTAGCTCCACAAAGAAGGCAATCGTGGATATGACAGAAAGAAGAGAAATGAGCGACAAGGAGGCAGCCAGAGAGAGGGGCGAAGAAGCTGCAGGACAAGGCATTTAACACAGCCCCGTTCTCTAGCTCTGTTGTTTGATTACGCGCGCTTAGACTAGTGCAGGCCTCTGTGGTTGGGAGAAAGCGAGGGTGGGATGTTTCAAGAGAACAGCATTGAAACATGTATATTATCTAGGGTGAAACAGATCACCAGCCCAGGTTGGGTGCATGAGACAAGTGCTCGGGCCTGGTGCACTGGGAAGACCCAGAGGGATCGGGTGGAGAGGGAGGTGGGAGGGGGGACCGGGATGGGGAATACATGTAAATCCATGGCTAATTCATTTCAATGTATGACAAAAACCACTGCAATGATGTAAAGTAATTAGCCTCCAACTAATAAAAATAAATGGAAAAAAAATAAATAAAAGCTCATTCATAGACATGGGTGCATGCACACATACACACACACTCACTGTGGAGAAGAGGAGTGTGAGGTGGTCTTTTTTTTTGGCTGCCATGTGGCATGGGGGAATCTTAGTTCCCTGACCTAGGATCAAACCTGGGGCCCCTGCACTGGGGGCACAGAGTCTTAACCACTGGCCCACCAGGGAAGTCCACTTTGAAGGGCAGAGAAGACCCAAGTAGGAGAGACAAAAGGCAGGTGGTGTTTCCATCTGGGTGCTCACTGAGACAGCAGGGAGGCTGGGCACAGTCACCTTAACCGGTTCAGGGTCTGTGTTTATGGGCGCTTTTTTCTTTGGTGTGTCTATATTTTCTAGTTTGTATGCCTCACACTTCTGTCCCTCTGTTGCAATTTTTTAAATGTGCTTTTATATATAATGCAATATATATATTAGTGTACATTTACATTACATTTATATATTTATGTGTATCATATTTTATATGCACCTATGTTTTACTTTTAAAATTTATTTAATTTTTGATTGGAGTATAACTGCTTTGCAATGTTGTGTTATATTTGTACATTTTAATATATTGGGTTGGCCAAAAGTTTCATTGGGGTTTTTCTGTAACATGTTATGGTAAAATGCAGATGAACTTTTTGGCCAATCCAATATTTAATCTATGTCTATATAAATGGACAGAGTGCAAACGATACATGATGAAGCAAACAAGGAAAATGTTAATAAAAGTGAAGCTCAGAAAAAGTATATGTGTTTGTTGTATTATTTTTATTCCAGCAGCTTTTCTGTAAGTTTGAAAAAAATTGTTCTTTAAAAGCACTGTATACATTATCTTTCTGATCCTCACAACAATCAAGTAATGTGGGGTTTATGATTCCCATTATACAAATGAAGATACCAAAATAAGGTATTTAAAATTGCATAGTGGAGTCTTCCCGGGGACTAAGTCCAGTGGTTAAGGCTCTGCACTCCTAATGCAGAGGGCAGGAGTTCAATCCCTGGTCAGGAAACTAAGATCCCACATGCCACATGGCATGGGCCTAAATAAATAAATAAAAACTGCACAGTCGCCATCAAGGGACTAAAACCCAGGTTTTCACAGCCAAGGCCTGTGTTTATCTGGTCGGTCTCTTTAGGCAGTCATATAACTGATCTTAGTGAGATCCATGTGAAGAGGGGATTTGTTTTTTTGTAATATTTTGTCCCAACTAAACACAACTCCCACAGACACAGGATATGGGTCTGAATTTTCCTTGTTCAACACCCTAACTTCTTGAACTTGTGTCAAAAAATTTCTGCTCCTCTGAGACTTCATCTGTTTGGCTAAATCATTCTGTGTCAACCTTCTCATTCTCTTCCAACTGGCCAAATAGTCACATCCCCTCATTTCCTGAAGAGGTGGACGTCTGGTTTACCACATTTCTTTTCTGAAAGTTCTACCACCATTGTGCATGACATCAGCTTCCCACACATGGCACATCCAGAGCTCTGGCTCTTCTTTGACCATCTTTTCTCCAATGAGATGCATCTTCACAGCACGTTTTCCATCCATTGTAGAACTATGCCCTCAAACTTTCCTATTGCACAAACCATTTGTTCAAAGCAGGGTGATTGGTCATAAACAACAGAAATCAGTTTTGTCTACTAAAGCAGATGGAGGATCCAATGGAAGAAGTCTGCTAGCTTATGAATGACAGGGAAAACCAGAATGCCGAGTCAGAAGACAGGGGTCAAGAGAGTCTGGACAACTGAGAGCCTGGCCTGACCTGTGGTCCTGGGACCCAAGACCGCTACCACTGCAGCAGGCACTGCTGGCCCTAGACACCCACCCACCACCACGCCACCTGACTTCTGGCCCTAACATCACATCCACTGTAAGTAATCGCTAACTACCTCTCCTTCTGGGATTCTTCTGGGATTATGTTAGATGGGAAGAGTATTGGATATTAGGAAGTCAAAATTGACAAGCTCCTATACAGTTAATCTGCTTGGCAATCCTATATCCTCGTATACTCTTCTTCCCATAATCACCCTTCAAAATAAAGTCTTCATTTAGCTACTGCCGTTCATTCTTATATATTGAAAACTCATTTACAGTGCTACCTCCCAGTCAAGGATCCATCACGAATCTCTCAGCAAATGCATCCAGGTCTGAGTCAGGTTTCTGAGGAACGTCTATTCCTCTCTTGAGCCAGTCACAATATTTTGAAGCTTATGAACCAACACAACCTGTAGACAATGATGGAGGGAGAAATGGAAGAAATAAAAGAAAACTTAGTGAGAGAGAGAGAGAATATGAGGGAAAGCCATACCCTAGTACTGCATCTGGTCTCAAGGTCGTAGCTGATGTATATGACTCTCCCCCGCGCCCTTGTTCTCTAGGCTGTCAGCCAGCACCCATGGTGATTGCGGATGATTGCCTATGAGCTCAAACCTTCCTTCCTGAAGGATGTGAGCTTGGTGGTCCTGCCAATTAGCATCCCCAGAATGGCTGAACTGAAAGGCACCCAGGGGAAACTGTGTTCCATTTATGGTTCTTTCTACCCCACTGCTTGATTCAACACCATTTCCCCTTGGTGGGATTAAGTGCTCTGGCCAAAAATCCAGTGTCCTGTTTTGCTGCTTAATTGAATGGCATGAGGAACTCAAAGTGGACAGATGGTATTCTTAGGTTCCAATTCTATGAAATCATTGTTGGATTCAGGGGTGGGAGCATTCTGTAACTGGATATTCAAATTCCTAAACTAATAGGAGTCTACAGATTCAGGCAGGAAAGCAACATTTTTGCTAGTGAGTCACCAGATTTAATTATATGACATGCTTCCCAACTCTAGCCCCTGTAATGGACACTTGTAATATGACTATGAGAGTCATAAAATGGTATACTGGATACTGATTCTGAGCATATCCTTTATTCTACAAGGCTGCATCCCTTCCAAGGAAGGTTTTGTCCCTTAGTTGAGCCAGGGGACTGATTTTTCAATACACACATAATATTTAATATGACATGTACAGGTAGCTAGCAGAAGTATCATTAGCAGAGAAAACAAATTCAAATTCAGAATGTATCTCTTTCACTAAGAAGGAATTATTCTATTATGAAAGGAGGCTTATAGAATCAATCAGCCATTAGGTCCCAAAATGATCCTCCAAAATACCACACTACAGAACTGCAGTTAGCTGTTGCTATTGGAAAGTCGGCCACTCAGCAAGAGGGTAGACAGATAAGCACTGGCTAAGAGAAATCCATGTTGGAAAAGACCCTGATGCTGGAAAAGACTGGAGGCAAAAGGAGAAGAGGGAGGCAGGGGCTGAGAGGGTTAGGTAGCGTCACCAACTTAAAGGGCATGAATTTGAGAAAACTCTGGAAGATAGTGACCGACAGGAGAGCCTAGCGTGACCCCTGCAGTCCACGGGGTGGCAAAGAGTCAGACACAACTTAGTGACTAAACAACAATAGCCACTCTACCCTTAGCATGTACACAATGCCTGAATTATAGTAATATAGTTGCTATATTTGACAAGTGAAAACACGGGGCAGCCAGTTAAATCAGAAGTACCAACACTTTCTTACCTTGGCTGCTAGAGATGTCCACCTTTGCCCCACTGGCACGTTTTCCTAATGGAATCAGAGAATATAAAAGGTAAATGTTCAAGTGTAAGAGGGGAGAGTGGGGGAAGAATCCCTGCTAAACCAATGTCTTCTCTTCTCTCTAACCTTGACATGGGCAGAGAGGAGGGAAAGAATGTCTGAGAGTTGTTCCAGAAAGGATAGTGGTCATTTTCTTCCCTGGTTGGATACTTGGGACAGGGAAGTGGCAGCGTTCCCAGATAGATTAGAGGATCCAAGAATAGGGGAGGTTTATGTCCAGCCTTCCATCCAGTTCCCTGGGAAACAATAAATCAGCTATTGCTGCGTAATAAACACCACAGAATCTTGGCATATAACACTAGGCGTTTATCTTTGCTCACAAGTTTGCAGGCTGGTTTTGCTGCTTGTTTCAGGCTGTGAGTCTCCCCCATGTGTCCTCATTGGGGGCCAGCTGTGAGGGGTAGTGACTTCCTATGAATCTACCAGGGAGGTAAGAATTTTTCAGAATGATGAGCAGAAACAAGGCACACCCCTTCAGGTCTAGACTCAGATCTCAGACACTATCGCTTCAGCCTATGTGCCATTTGATCAAAAGAATACAGGACCAAGCTCAACATTAGTGGGTTTCAGAGGAAAACTCCTTCCATAGGGTAAAGATTTGCTGAATAATAATTGAATCTACAACCAGGATGGCAAACACTATCATTTAATCGCAGGGAGTGCTGAGGCAGAAGGGACGGTGGCCACGTCTTGGAGCCCTTGAATCTTTTCCCTGAATAGAGGGAGAAGAAAAATACTTTCTTCTGTGCCCACATAATTGTGAAAATTACATAGTACAATGTCTGAAATATTGTAAGTGCTCATCATGCTTGCATTCTCTTGGCAGCTATGCCATGGGGCTTCCCACGTGACTCAGATGGTAACAAGTCCACTTGCAATGCAGAAGACCCAGGTTTGATCCCTGGCTCAAGAAGATCCCCTGGAGGAGGAAATGGCAACCCACTCCAGTATTCTTACCTGGAGAATCCCATGGACAGAGGAGCCTGGTGGGCTACAGACCAGGAGGTCACAAAAAGTCAGACAAAACTTAGCGACTAAACAACAACAGCTATGCCATAGGCTGTGGTTTATCCAGCCTTTAATTGGACATTACATGTTTGACAAAACAGTTATCAGTTTTTGAAGACTCAGTGTGTGCAATTTTTGTCTCAATTAATCCTTTTGATCATCCTGTAAACTAGATCTTATTCTTATTGGTTTGTGTGTAAGAAGGCAGAGACTAGGAAAGTTGAATCCTTAGCCCTGGTCAAAACCAGAAGAACTGGCATGAGAACACCCATGGGCCCGGGTACAGAGCCTGTGTCTTTCCACTGCCCTGTGCTGTGGCCTGTAAATCCAGGTCTCCTCTCTTCGAGAGCTGTTCTCTTCTGTCTTCTCCCACAGCTTCTGAGCTCTTTCCGAAGTCAACTTCCAGCCACAGCTATGCAGAAACAAGGAGGAAAGCTTAATGGGGTGAATGAAGCAGCTTTCCCTATAGGAGTTTGGTAAACAATTCAAAACCAAGACCAGTGGAGTCCAAGGAAGCGTCTCTTCCAAGAGGCTTTGACAATGCGCAGCTTGCCTGCCTCCAACCAACCCCCGGGGAGTCCAGCTGGGGCAGGGAGACTGAGGCTGTCATAGGCNGGGGTGGTATTGGCAGCCTCCAGCAGGGCCTTCCAGTCTGACCACCACCGGTGATGCTCTATACATCAGGCTTTTAGAGCCGCTGCTGAGTCCGCATGTTAGTTGCTCAGCAGTGTCCCGCTCTGAGACCCCATGGGCTGTAGCCCTCCAGGCTCCTCTGTCCATGGGATTCTCCAGGCAAGAATACTGGTGTGGGTAGCTAGTCCCTCCTCCGGGGAACCCTAACCTATTCCCTCCTCCACGATCGAACCCTGGTCTCCTGAATTTCAGGCAGATTCTTTACCATCTAGGCCACCAGGGAAGCTGAGATCATAGTGGGAGTATTTAATTAAAATCGCTGTGGCGTTACAGAAAGGAGAGACTGGGCAGAGCGCCAAGCTTCGCAAGTCTTCTCTCTCCACCGTCCCTCTGAGCAGAGCCCCGCCGCCAGGTCCCAGGCCTGTGACTGCTCTCTGTCCCTCTCACCAGGCAAATGGCACGATTGGCTCCTGTGGGGAGCAAGGCCAGCCCTGGGCCTTCAACCTCGAGAGTGCACCTCTGGAGCTTTGTATAGTTGTGCACGTGAATGGAGGAGATATAGCTTCTGTTTTATTTAATAGATCATCCTGTAAAGGCTGGTGATGCTGCCTGGAAGTAGGGTTGTGGTGTGATTCTTTTGCATCACAGACCAAACTGTGTTTCCAGGGAGTGACATGTGCCAGGAACAGCGGTCAGTGGGGAACCAAGATACTGTTTTACGAGGATTGTGAGCTGAGATTGTGGCCCAAACACCTCTGCTGAGCTCTCTGGAAATCTGGACAGAAGCAGATGGCCTAGGCCAGTGTGAAAGGACCCTAGTTGCTTCTTGGAATCTGATGCTATTCCCTCAATAGGTTTCACTGAGCAACACATGGAAGAGGCAAGATTGCCTGAGCAAATGTTTAGAAGTCTAGAAGAGAAGAGAGAGCTAGAGAGACGTGTCTAGGGGCATCAGCCTACTCCAGGTAGCCAAGTCAGGTGAACACTGAATGTAGGATGGAGAAAGGTGGGCCTTCCAGGACATAACTTTATAACAGGTGGGGCAAGTGGGCCCTGAGAGCTATCAACTCTTCCTGCGGGAAACAGACCTGAGAAGGAGGCACATGGGGACTTCAAGGGAGCGAACAGGATTTGCCTGGCATCCTGAGCAGTATACCTGTCCCCCTTGTGGTATACTGTACACGTTCCTTGTCTATTTTACTGCCTGGCTGTGAGCTCCTTGCAGGCGGGGCTTGGGTTTTTTTCCTCTTCATGAAATCTTTTCCAAATTCAGTGCCTGGTGAAAAGTACTTGCTCACTAGATACTTAAGGAATGAAGGATTGGTAGAGTTAGAAGTGGGGTCCATGGAGGAAGCAGCCTTTGAGCTAGGCCCTGTACTTCCAATATTTGCCCACTGATCTTACAAGTCATAGTGTCCTCATTTGTAAAAGGAGATGCATAGGTTCTGGGGGAGGAAATACAAAATGAATATAGAGAATTTAAGACAGTGCCTGGTACACAGTAAGATTCAATACATGGTAGTTGTTTCTATTATCGATGTATACTTTACAAGGAGATCAAACCAGTCAATCCTAAAGGAAATCAACCTTGAACATTCATTGGAAGGACTGCTGCTGAAGCTGAAGCTCCAATACTTTGGCCACCTGATGAGAAGAACTGACTCATTGGAAAAGACCCTGATGCTGGGAAAGATGGAAGGCAGGAGGAGAAGGGGGCAACAAAGGATGAGATAGTGGGATGGCATCATTGACTCAATGGACATGAGTTTGAACAAGCTCTGGGAGATAACGAGGAACAGGAAAGCCTGGCGTGCTGCAGTCCATGGGGTCACAAATAGTTGGACACAACTGAGTGACTGAACAACACCACCACAAATACTTTATAAGTGGTCCATTAGAACCCAGGGTGTGGTGACTGGGAGGGCTGGCCGATGTTGAAAGCAGGGTCCAGAAAGGTGGATTGAGCCTCATTGAGAAGGGCCACCCAGCCAGCCTGAGGAATCTGGCCTTATTTTCAGAGATAGGAAGGTTGCATTGGTGTAGGGTTCTAAGTATTGTCTCTGTGGTCAGGTTCCAGACCTCGCTTGACTTCTTGATGACTTTGCGAACTGAGGAGTCTACTTCACATTTTGGGCTCAGTTTCTTCATCTGTAAAATGGGAATCATGAGAGTATAGGACTGCTGTAATATGTTGCCTTAACCTTGTTGACTTACAACAGCCAATTTATTCTCTCATACTCAGGGGGATCAGAAATCTGACTCCAAGGTGTCAAGAGAGTCACATCTCTTCTGAGACCCTCTGGAGAATCCTCCCTGCCTTTTCCAGGGGACTCCAAGCAGCTCCCGCCTCTGTCTTTACATAGCAGTCTTCTCCTCCTCTTTCTGTCCTCTCCTCTAAGGCTACTTGTAAGATTTAGGATAATTCAGGATGTAATTTAGGATGATTTCATCTCTAAGATCCTTAATTTGATTACACTTCTGAAGACTCTTTCTCCAAATAAGGTCACATTCACAAATTCTGGGGTGTTGACCTACCTTTTTGAGATCCATCATTCAATCTACTGAAAGAGTATATAAAAATAAGATGTGAAATTTCAGTGATGTGCATGTAAAATGTGTTTAAGAATGCAGGTCATGGTGTATGCCTCCCTCCGAATTCTGCTGTAAATTCCAAGTACACGCATGCTAAATTGCTTCAGTCATGTCCAACTCTTTGCAACCCTATGGACTATAGCCCACCAGGCTCCTCTGTCCATGGATTCTTCCGGCAAGAATACTGGAGTGGGTTGCCATGCCCTCCTCCAGGGGATCTTCTCAACCCAGGGATTGAGCCTGTGTCTTTTATCTCCTGCATTGGCAGGTGGGTTCTTTACCACTAGTGCGACCTGGGAAGCCTGTAGATTCCACAGATATGTGCTTTTCTGGGGACCTCTATTCCTAGACTACATTGGTTACTTATTTTCGTTGTCTTCCTCCTGTCACAACACCCATTTTACTTTCTGGCTGTTCCTCATGCTGCTTGACTTCCTTGCCTGACTGTGTCTTTTTTCAGTCATTATTATATCAGGTCCCCTACCAGTATTTTTGAATGCATGAATGTTTTTCACTAACAAACCACTATGGAAGCATGAGAAGTGCACAGCCTTTAAGCACACCTGAGTGAATCTCAGTTCTGAAATTTTTCTGAACCTTAGTTTCCTTATCTGAAAAATGGGCACATTATCCTAACCTTGAAGAATTATTGTGAGGATCAAACTGATTTTACTATTTCACTTTAGACTCAGTCTTACTGCTCTCAATCTGCCTACC